CTAGAAGCTATTGAAATATTCAACACACTACTTAGCCTAATGAAAAATCTAATCTTATCAACAAACTAAACTTCCAAATCAAGAACAATTTCTTCTTACATACTTTCCCTTACTTTCTCCAAATACTATCGTGTGCTTCTTACAACAACAAAAACAACAACAACAACCAACCTTTATCCCACTAATTGGGGTCGGCTACATGAATCCTTTTTCTCCATTGCTTCCTATTTTCATTTAATTCTGATAAATTAAAATTATTTTTCATACAATATGCCCAAGTCTTTCTAGGTCTACCTTTGCCTTTCTTGACGTAAGTCGAATCTAAAACATCTACTCTCGTAACCAGATCATCAACTGATCGACGTTTAATGTGACCAAACCATCTATGATGACTATTTCTAATTTTATCCTTCACTGGAGCTACATCAACCCTATGACAGCTATTTTCATTTCGCACTTTGTCTCTAAGTGTAAAGCCACTCTTTCACCTAAGCATTCTCATCTCGGCAACACTTAACTTACTTTTATGCTTCTCTTTTAAAAGCCAACATTCTACACCATAGTGCATTGAAGGTCTCACCACCATATTATAAAATTTTCCTCTTAGTCTAAGAGATACTTTTTTATCACAACATTTCTATCACACAATAGGCCCAAAGCATTCCTTCACTTCAACCTACCAACTTGAATTCTACTAATAAAATCCCCATCTATATTACCATCACTTTGAACAATAGACCCGAGATATCTAAAATATTCACATCATTTAATAATTTGATTACCCATAGTTACAGCTTTGCTACTAGAGCTACTACTATTACAATTACATTCTATGTATCAGTTTTAGTTCTACTGAAACGAAGTCTTTTAGACTCTAAAGTAGACCTCCATAATTTAAGTTTTTCCTGAGCACTTTCTCTAGTCTTATCCAAAAGAAGGATATCATCACCGAAAGCATACATCAAGGAACATCCTTATGTAAATGTCCAGTAAGAGCATCCATAACTGAAGTAAAAAAGATATGGGCTTAAAGCCGATCCCTGATGTAATCTAACTGAAATAGGAAAATATTTGCTCAATCCCTTAATCTCTTAGAATACTATATCTGTAACATGTAGATTTTGCCACATCCAGATAGGTCCGGGCCGCACTTGTTTCTGCAATCTTTTCCACATTGAAATCATGTTTGAGTGACATTCGGGGCAGGCAAATTGCCAGTCTGTCCTTAAAAGTCATGTTTGAACTTTCAGCTCTTGCCTAATTTATGAACTTCCACTTTTCTTTGCTAATTCAGATATACCAACATTGGAACCGTACTTATGCATGACTAATAATTTTTTTTAATGATATTTCAATAAATATTCATGCTTTCTGATACTTAAGCTAGATGATCATCTCAACAATCAAGCTAATGAATCTAAGATTTTCGCCAACTGTGAGGCCCATAGACATTTCTTTCTTGTGAGCTTGTATGCTAACTGCTAATATGAGGTCATCAACATCATTTTTCTACTCTCCCTCCCCCTCCTTTGTATATATACCACACATCTTCACATCCTCATCTCTTCTATATAAATTTATCAATGACTCTTTAATGACCCACAATTGGATCCATTTTGACATTGTTTAGTTACATTAACTTTTAGACATAGTTTTGATTCATGATATTTAAAATTCCGTGGCTTAGGTATAGTTTTTTTCTTCAATAGTTTTTATTAATAGTTATCAATTTTGTGTCCGATAAAATTATTATCGTTTCATTGGTCTTTAGTTTACTAATTCTAGGCCCATTATTTTAAAAAAAATTTCCAATATTTTTAATTTTCTAAGCCAAGAGTTCTCTCATCTTATGATGTTCTATCGTAAAAAACATATATTTCCTTGGAAATATTATTGTAAAAGGAATATTTAACTTGAGAAATACTCTACTCCCCTTAAAAATCTTATGCAAAAGACTCATGCCACAAAAATATTTAATGAAGTAGATTAATAAAACTCGTTCCAAATAAAAATGAACAGCACCATCCAAAATTTTGTTTTGTTTAGATTTTTATTTTATTTTGTTAGGATTACAACTTTACTTATCTAATTTATATCATGCTTCTCATGCCTTTTTGACCATACATTTGTTCTCGAAATCTTCATCACTGGAGATTTGCTAAATCCACCTTTTTAATTCATTCTTCGGAGTGCAACATTTGAAGTTAACTTTTATTTTGCAAGCTTTTTTGCTCATAACCTCTATTCATGTCTTTGTTGGTTCACATTTTTTTCCTTAAAATATTTTGGGTTAATCATATCAACTTGTTTTATCTGTTCATCTTTCGCCCTTCATTGTTGTGTCACTAAATTACAAATAGGTTAGGTTGTTTCTTATTTAGATAGAGAAAAAAAAAAAACATAATTGAAAAAATTTGTAATGGGATTCCATGTGAAAGTATTTCCATGCAATTTATAATTCAAGAAATATTTTAAGAGTTTTAGCAAAATGAAAAACAAATAATTCTCATAAGATGATGGAATTCAACATATGAGAAGTTCTTAATATTTTAAGATAGCATGCTAAGAGAAAGGAATTAATAATTCTTTTAATTGAGCGAAATGTGATGTTGGATAAAATCTTTATTTCCATTAAGAAGATGGTTGTAAATATTTCGAAAATAGATTTTGTAATATTAACAAGGAAAGGAAATATGCTTTTAAAAAGCGGCAAAAGAAGAAGACCATTGAGGCTTGTATTAGTTGCAAGCAATAAGTCCTATGAAGGAAGAGTGAGCGAAGCAAAATGTACAACTGTTGAGGATTTTGATAGTAAGTTAGGCATCAAAGGAGAAATTGAGATATAACATAATTCAAAAATTTATATATGTCGCTCCCAATTCTTATGCATTTACATATCTCACACCCAAACTTTAATTTTTACTTCCTAAGAACCTTTTCCTATGCATGAAAAGGTGAATTACAGAAATTCACCTTTTCATACGTGGGAAATGGTGCTTTAATTGTAAAACTCAGAGTTTAGGTGTGTGATATGTAAATGCGTAAGAATTGAGTGCTATATATGTACATTCCCCAATATAATTAAGGCAAGAGATAATAAGTTAAGATTTTGATTGTAAGTTAGGCATCAAAGGAGAAATTGAGATATAAAATAATTCAAAAATTTACATATATAGCTCCCAATTCTTATGCATTTACATATCTCACACCCAAACTTTAATTTTTACTTCCTAAGAACCTTTTCCTATGCATGAAAAGGTGAATTACAGAAATTCACCTTTTCATACATGGGAAATGGTGCTTTAATTGTAAAACTCAGAGTTTAGGTGTGTGATATGTAAATGCGTAAGAATTGAGTGCTATATATGCACATTCCCCAATATTATTAAGGCAAGAGATAATAAGTTAAGATGATGGAACTCAAAATATAAGAAGTTCTTAATATTTTAAGATGGTGTGCTAAGATAAAAGACTTAAAAATTCTTTAATTGAGTGAAACTTGATGTTGGATGAGATCTCTATTTCTATTATGAAGATTGTTGTAATATGAAGATAATTGTGAAAATAGATTTTATAATGTTTTCAAGGAAAGGAAATATGCTTTTAAAAAGTGACAAAAGAAGAAGAATATTTAGACTCATATTAATTGCAAGCAACTAGTCTTATGATGGAAGAGTGAGCTAAGCAAAATGCAGAACTTTTGATGATTTTGATAATGAGTTAGGCACCAACATAGGAGAAATTGAGATATAATATAATTAATGCAAGGGATAAATGCTTTAAGATTTTAATAAGTTTTTGATGCATTAGAATTGAAGATTGTAAGATCTTAGTTAAATAAGATGTAATTTTATTTCTTAAATTTTTTTCTGAGGTTTTGTTAAAGAGGGTTAGAAATTGTTTTTAAAAATCGTAATAAAGAGATAAAATTAATTATATTGTAAATTGTTAAAAAGGTAAATGTAGAAGCAATTCTAAAGAAGATGCAGTAGGCTTTATTTCAAGAATCAATGGTTTGTGCTTTTTTTTCATTTCAATTTTGATTGATAAGGCATTTGCTAAAATAGATAGTAATTTCAAACATTGTATAGTATACTTAGAAGTGGCATGCCAACGAGAACTATACATTGAGTGTTTGTGAGCAAGTGTGAGCACATTGCAGTGGGATGGGTGTTTACGAGGGAGCACATGCAGGTAAGCTTGTTTGGGTGGGATGCAAAGGGGCTAGCACATGCTTGGAAGGGTGTACAAGTGGTTGAAAAGCGATGCAGCATGATGGAGCGATTGCATTGTTGTAGGCATAGGATAGTGAGATTGGGTGAGTGAGCACATGCGTTAGCATTGAGCAGGATGGCATGCTTGAGCACATGATTGTGTTAATGCTTTTATGAAAGCATAAAGGCAGGGAGAATTGATAGAGGAATTGAGGGTACACTGAGTTAAAGTATAATGAAATAAACCTACACCACTTACTATATATGGATAACCACCGTAACATAAATAATTTTTACTCTAACAGAGGGCATATCTGATTTTTCATATTTATGTAAAAATGCTTGTTTTTATTGATTAGAAAACATATGTTAGATTTTTACTTTCATGTATACTTAGAAAACTAGCAAAATCTGGCTAGCAATAGACTCTAGCTTTCCAATTATAAAAAACATGTTTTCTTTCCTTTTTTTGTTCTTTTCATAAGGCCAGTGGCGGTAATTTGCTCATGTTTACTATAATGAATTTTCTTTCTAAATTATTATTTTTCACATCATGCAATAAACTGTTAATAATGTTCTTGATTTGATGGCAATATATCATAAGCTACCATATATCTATATATATGCATGCATTTCCTTTTCTTGCTAAATCATATGTTAGGTTTTTTTATCAGCATTTATTTCACTAGTCTGTATGTTGAATTTTGTACTTATTTCTGTATTCCTCATTCACCGTTCATAATATGTTCTTATCGGGCAATCTCGCATCACAAATCTGATATGCAGATTTCAGAGGCCCCCTGGCATGCTTACGTCCTCCATGCTAGGTTTAGAAGCTCTCACTGGTGGCCTGGAAAAGTTTATGTTTGAAGATTACCTTAATAGTAAGTTCCATTGTGTGTGCGTGCTGCATTTTTTCTTTCTTATTGTTTTATTTTTTATGGAAGTTTGAGTTCTGCTCTGTTTCTAGGTATTATGAATGCTAGATACTGTGCTGTACATGTGGTTTTCTTCTTGCTAAAACCATGACGAAATATGTATAACCAGTTAAAGAGTATTTACTTTAAAGATACTTTTGGTTAGCACTAAAGCTAGGCCAAGTAAGCTAAAGTTTTTTGCTGAGCTTAGCCACTTGGTCTGCAAAGAAGATAATGTTGCTCTAAACTGAGGAATTTCTTTGGCTGGTATCAGATTTAAACTCATGTAGTGTATAATGATAAGAAAGATAATTAAAGTATATGGTAGAAGTTCATTTGAAATCTCCAAATTTCATGTTGTTGCATCAATTATTTGTAAGGTTTGATTATGCGCAAACATTAAGAACAATATCCCTGCTATAAAGGAGATAAAACAACTGAGCAATGCAAATAATACGAATGATATTTGGAGATGCATTGCTTTTCTATAGAATGAAAAATGAGCTACCCAATTACCATTAATTTGATACTTGTAGCCTCATATATCTCCCAACTCGCCTTTATGATAGGATCTTTGACAAAAAACATTCTAACAATGCATGCTTGCAAAATATGACTGGGAAAAAATTATGTGAGAACTTGTAATTGTTTGTTGTTCAAGGGCTTAATAGAGGCAGGCCTATCGTTATAAAATGGAATGATAAACATTAATTTAGTTGCAGCATTGACAAGTGGAATGATAAACATAAAAGATCATTCCAAGAGAAATTTTATGTACCCGCATTGATTATTGATTTTAGGTTTTAAGGTGAAGAATTGGAAGACGAAAAATACAACGAAGTATTGTCATAGAGATATATCAGAGCACTTAACAATTAAATAAAATTATTTTTATTGAGTAATTTCAAGTTTTTAAGATTTGAGATGTTCATGAATAAGTTAATATTACGAGATAAAGTAATGAGTAATATTAAGTTGTAAAAGATATGCTTGGAAAATCAAAAGGAAAAACTCTTATAAATAATCATAATTAGTTGTGAAATAATAATGTACAGGATAATATAATAGATAAGAAGCTTTGTTATAAAATTTGGTTTAGATATAAAAATTTGGAGAATTGGAAAAAAATATAAAGTGTTCCGGAGGGAGTTTAAGATAATAATTTATGATATTAAGAATTTTATCTTTAATGATCTTTATACTAAATTAAATACTAAATAAGGTGAGACAATATTTTATAAGACCAAAACGGGACTTAGGCATGTTTTCTTTGGGAGACGATGCATAAGCCTCAAAAGAAAAAAATTAAAACTTCATAAAATTAAGCATAATTCATAAATATGACATTTGACAAACCATAAATTTTGATTATTATAACCTGTAATTTAAATATGTCAATTAACTTTAATTTCTTACTTATTTTTAACATCTAACACCTAAAATTTAATAAGAATTGGGTGTTATCTATTTAAATGAGTAAATTCCTCTAAAATTAAATTAAACCTATTTGTAAATATAATAATTTAATAAACTATAAAGTACATAATTTTTAACTGGCATTTACATACATACCACCTAATGCTTTGAGGCTCTGGACGGAAGTTGATGCAGCTATTGTACTTTTACACTAGACGGGATGTATAAGACGACAACTCGGGACATAGAAGCAGAATCCTTCCATTGGACTTCGACGCTCACGACATAGACGGCTTCAGATGACGATGTAGAAGCCTTTGATGCTTGAATCAAATGATCGAAACAATGTTGGACTTCGATGGTTGGATAGCTCCTCAATGCATATGCGTTCAATGGCTCGGGACAGAGCTTAAGGAAGAAGTAGCTCTCAAAAAGACGCTCTAGCCCTAATTTGTGTATTATGGCTGCTGCTTCTAATTTAAATTAGATAACTTGCTTTGATGCCTAATACGATTTGAGGTATAAATGCCTGGAGGCATACACCTCATTGTTGACATTGCTTATATTCATGTCATTAAAGATATGCATAGTAGAGTAGTTACTTTTGATTTGAACACCTGGAGGATTGAGCAAGAATTTTTTTTTTATTTTTGTTGTATTATATTAGTTATCCACTTTAAGCCCTTTTTTTTCTTAAGTTATCAATGTTTTTATTTGACATTTATAGAAGGATGTACCTTGGTCTTTGCTTTTTGCTGATAACATTCTTCTTGTGAAAAAGACTAGAGCGTGCTCAAGAAAACTTGCAAATTAGAGTCTAAAGGCTTTCAGTTGAGTAAATCTAAAACTAAATACTTGGAATGTAAATTTAGTTTTAGTAAATCTAGTGGTAGGATTATAATAATTGGTGATCAAATCATTAAAAGGAGTGCACAATTTAGATATCTTGGGTCTATTATTCCAAATGATGGTTATATAGACGGGAATGTTATTAGTAAAACTTCAATTGGATGGTTGAAGTGGCGGAATGCATTGGACTTATTGTGTGATAGAAATGCACCGCTTAGGTAGACTTTATAGGAAAATTTTATAAGATGATGGTGAGACCTGTGATGCTTTATGACGTAGAATGTTGGCCTGTAAAATAGAAGCATAAAATTAAGTTGAGTGTTGTTGAGATGAGAATATGCTTAGGTGGATGAGTGTGTTACGCCCAGAGATGAGCTGATCCCTCTTGAACCAGTCAAAAGCAACCCAACCGGTCCGCCACAAGAGCAAGCGGGCTGATCTTTGCAACGAGAAAAGGCAGGGCGGTCAAGGGCTATGGTGTAAGAAGGCAGGGAGCATGTGGGGTCCACTAGGGCCATAAGCACATATTTTAGGAGGAGAAATTAAAGGAGTTTGGAGGGAAAGTATGGAAGGAAAGTTTGAAATGTTGCGTGAGGATTCTATTAAGGGGAGTAACCTAGAATTTATTTTCTTATGCATTTCTTGTTGGCTTCTTTGTTTTTCTTCTTGTGGTGTTCTTAGCGATGTCTAAGGTTGTGGGAGAGTTGATCTATTTCTCAAAAAGTAAATCACCATTGTGTTTTGCTTCCCTTATTTGAATTGTTTCCATCTATTTATTTCCGTTTTGTCATTGTTGTTTGTTGACTTTGGTTCCGGAGTATATCAAATTGGTATCAAAGCATATAGATCATGGTGGGATGACAACAAAGAAAGTGGATGTGCTAGAAGGAGAGGTAGGACAAATTATATCGGAAATGGAAAAGATGCTCGCCACCATGGAGGATAGACTTTCTTCCATTCAAATTTGAATGGGGGATGGATTCGAGAGCATAGGAGAAATACGAGAGATGATGAAAAGCTCATAGAGATGCAATCCAAGGCCGTCCTGATCGCTCAAGTTGCAAACTCTAATCAAGGGTTGATCAGGGAATCCTTAAACAGGTCAAGAGGGAAGGAGATCGAGCGAGAAGACAACGAGGAAGACATCATCTACCAACATGAACCTAGGACTCCGAGAGGAAAGGAAGTGGAGACTTTCGATGGAGGGGATGGGCCAAAAATTGGAGGGATGGGATAGGAGGCATGGAAGAGCACAATGGAGGAAGGATGGAATTGAGAGTTGGGTATACCTACGGTCGAACGAGGGAGTTCCACCCTAGATACATGGGGGGAAATATCAGAGAAAAAGTAGATTGGGGTGGAGATGCAATGGTCAGAAAACTGAATATGTCAATCTTTGAAGGTGCACATGGGTGAGTGTATCAGGTGGAGTGTTACTTGCAATATATGGGTTAATTGAGGAAGAAAAGCTCATGGCAGCGAGATCATGCTTGGAGAGAGTTTTTAGCGTGGTTTCAATGGATGGAGGCAATGTATCCGATGCACTCAGTAGTTGAAGGATTGCTTGTTGGAACGTTTCTGAGCCATTTGGAAAAGAGACCTACATGAGTAATTCTATGCTCTGACTTAGGACGGGATGGTTATAGAATACCGGGAGAAGTTCGAGCTCTTGTCAGGGAGGTTGAGGGGGGTTTCTGCAGTTGGACTGAAAGGGAGCTTCTTGAAATGCTTAAAGCTTGACATACGAGCAACCATTAGCTCTTTGAGATCGCGAGGATTGTGGAAAATGATAGAGCTCACTCAGATAATGGAGTATAAGAAACATGTGAAAAAGTCCAACAAAGGCGGCAACACCGGAGGATTTGTACAAGAACACCTTGATAGCCACGACACTGCGGACCTAGATGGTGTCATTTCAGAATGAGAAGTTGAAAGAGAAGAATATAGAGAGCTGTCTCAGCGTAATTTCCAGTGTCTCACAGATGCAAAAATGCAGGATAAAATGGCAAAATGATTATGTTATCGCTGTGACAAGAAATATGCTCCATGCCACCGTTGCAAGGAGCGCACCCTTTAGAATCTTTTGGTTCAGGAGGAGGATACAGAAAGTGAGGAATCAGAGGAAGAATCGATGGAGAAGGAGCATCTGCATTTGGATGTGATGGAGGCGTCTCTCAATTCGGTGGTGGGATTTACCCCGAATCACACCATGAAGACGAGGGGGTGGATCAGGAAACACAATTGATTGTGGATGTTCTTGGATAGCAGTGCCACACATAACCTTATCTCAAATCGGGTCATGGAAAAACTAGGGTTGGAGCTGTTGACTACAGGGAGCTTTAATGTCATGATGGGGATAGGAAAAGTGGAGAAACATGGGGCTGGTTTTGACACTACATGATATATAGGTGGTGAACTTCCTTTTGATTTAGGCAGCACAGATAGGATTTTGATGATGAAGTGGTTGCGAACGCTGGGGGAGATGAAGGTGGATTGGAAGTCCCTGACTATAGAGTTGGAGGGGAGGAAGGTGATGCTAGTTTATGCAAAACTATGGTGTCACTCAAAACCTTGGTCAAGTCAATTCAGGATGCAGGATTTGACTACTTGGTAGAGTTGTATAGCATTTAGGATATTCGAGATTCAAAGTTGGCAGAGTTTTTTGAAAGAGTCCAGCAGCTCCATAGCAGTTTATAGATGTT